GATATCCTTTGGGCAATTTAAGAAGTATCATCTAAAAACCATGTGCACGGACTTGACTTTTGCAGTATTACTGTACACATAACTTTTCAATGCATACCAAAGACATAAGTGACTCTCCTGGGCATGCGCTACAGATGGTTTTACAGTATTCCACAAGGTTTGTTTATATATGTAGGAAGAAGTAGCATGAAACAGGAACCTCCCATATTATAAAGGCCTTTTATTTGCTAAAACATGAGCAAAGAAAAGAGCACAGGCACTTGCCAGCTACTTCTTCTTTTCCTAAACATAAACCCATCTAATCCAATTTAAAAAGAAGCTGTTTGCAGGCTGAGGACTGGTCGGCCACGTTGAAGAGAGAGGTGTATCTACAGCGTAGACTCAGCTGCCAACTAGCATTTCGAAGTGCATGGCAGCAGCTACAAAAACCCTGTTACCTGTATAAACCCTGTTACCCTGTATAATAAACTGAAAATTCTAGTTTGTTTCTGTCTGTATGACTGAAGACAATTCAATTTTTACAACACCTAACTAACAAATAACATAGTTTCTTTTACAACATCCTTACGATAACATAGATCTTAATTTTGTTTGTCTGGTGTTGCTTTGTTTTGAAAGTGTAAAGTATCATCCCCTAAAAGATTAGAAGGTCTTTTGGCAATGGAAATCTGACTAAGAACAAGACTCACCACCTACAGCTCTATATTTAAAAAAATACAGAAACCTGTTTTTCAGTATTTAAAAAAAAAATAATCCTTAGCAGTCTTTAGTCTCCAGAATTGTGCTATGTTTTCTTATGAATACATAAAGTAGAAACAGAATATCCAGATAAAAAAAAAAAAAGAAAGGAAAAAAAAGTCCATTCCTAAAGGCTTGAACTTTGTACGGAAGCTTGCAATGAGTAGATGCACACAAAAGAACAAAATAAAAGGAAAAAAATTAAACGCAATAAGATGAGAGTGACTGAGGGATTAGGAGGATGAAAAGAAAGGGAAGAAAAAAAGACCATAAGAACACTAAAAAACAGGAGAAAGAAAAGCAAGACAATGAAAACAAATGAATCGTTGAAACTATAGTGGGAGGAACTGATGAATATTAACTTTTATTATTCTGATTACAAAATACATTTCAAATTTGGATGAAACACATTGTATGTATGTTTTGCCAAGGACATTCTTGGCAATTACAAAGGCAGGAAGATTATAATTCAATCAGTGAGGCATTACTTAAAACCACTTGAAAAAGCAGACCATTTGAACCATCAAATAGACTGCATGGGTAAAGATTTTAAAGATTCAATATTCTGGAGCAGTACAGATTGCACTCACATGTTGCACAGTGAACCTTCCAATAATGGGGCCATTAGATAAATAGCAATTTTTCTTCCTGAATGTATTTTACCCATTTTTCATCTCATAAATGAGCAACGAAGCCTCATCATCTTTTTTCATACAAAATGAGGGCAGTTCTAGTGAAACATTTTCAAGCACTTGTACTGTAAAACTTTTATTTTGCTATAAAATCTGGTTTTTAACGTTTAAAAAACTGCACTGTCCATGACAGCCAGATCACATCTCTGCAGATGGCTTCTGTATTTATCAGATGTATGTGGAGCACTTTACCACGCACCAAATCTATGCGCTTGCCTTGAGAAGGATGCTACGGTAACGTTAGGGCTACGTCACCGCAGCTGCTGTGATAGTAGCAAAACCCACAATAAACAGGTCACCTTGACCTCTCCTCTCACGTAAACTGTAATTTCACAGAACTGCTAACACCTGAAGAATGGGACTGGCTGAAAAAAATGCGCAAGGCATTGGCTGTTCCCATTTGAAAAGGTGTGTGACCCGGCTTGCCCCTAGTAACGCTTATTTACATATCACTGTGATTGCACTTTTAGGTGGAGCTGTGCAGGCTTAACCCCTCAGACTGCTGTAGCCTTTGCAATTTGCCCGATGTTATTTTTTTCACTCTGAGGGTGGTGAGACACTGGAACAGGTCGCCCATACAAGGTGTGGACACCCCATCCCTGGAGGTGTTCAGGGCCAGGCTGGATGGGGCTTTGGGCAACTTGGTCTGGTGGGAGGTGTCCCTGCCCATGGCAGGGGGCTTGGAACTAGGTGATGTTTAAGGTCCCTTCCAACCTAAACCACTCTATATGATTCTATGTAGTCAGATTTTCAGCAGGATGGAAAATTACGGGCACAACTTTGAAATCCCTGACGGTCCTGAGCCACACTTCGCCTTGTCGACATGCAGGGGAAGCTCGGCCCCGACCCGACCTCGGTACCCCAGGTTGGGAGGACGCGAGTTCACCCCCCAAACGCCCCGAGCTGACCCCCGGGGCCATGTCAAACCCCGCTACGGGGCAGCCGGTACCCGACCGCCGCCCGCCTCCCCCCTCCCGCCCCACGCGACACCGCC